GGGGGGAGGGTTGTTGTTGGTTTTGTCGTTGTTTTGTTGTTGTTTTGTTGTTGTTTTGTATAATCATTTATTTATTCGTTCTGTCATTTTTTTAAATTTATCCCATTTCCCTTTTAAAACTATTCTTCTAAATGTTTTAATCAATTCTTTTCTTTGCTCGAATCGACCTTTTTAAAAAAACTTTGAAAAGTGGGGAGGAGTACATAGAGCAAAGATAGTACACTGCTTTATGGTTAACTTTTTTTAAAATGTGTTCTCTGGGCTGAAATATACATTTCGTTTCGCTTCTTTTATCAAACAGATGCTCTTTTGGAACGTCTTTGATCCCGCTCTTTGGAATCCAGATACGTCGTAATACAAGTATGTCACTCGCTAAAAATAGATCTAGTATCAAACGCGCTATAATATAAAAGCCGCCAACAGCTTTTTTGATGGGTATTTTCATAACAGCATCTAAAACAGAGAATTAATGGACTATCAGCTTGTCATGGACAATTTTTGAAAATACAAATTGGTCGCTTTTAAGGACAAGAGGGCTAACCCAGATTTCAGGGGTTTCCAGAAATCTTGATCAACACCAAAAGTGGGCTTTGCCCTACCTATAGAAGTTTGGTTTCATTGGTGTGGATATTTGTTTGGTTATAGAGAAAACTCTCCTCGTCATTTAAAGAAACTGAACAAGGGGCAAAAACTTTACCTTCGATTTTCTCAAAACAGCGTTTTTTCGGGATAGCCCCTATGTGCTTAAAAGCGACCTATTAATAGTCTGAAGAATAGAGAGGATTCCAATGTCTTCATTCAGTACTGACTTGTACTTACCGATAAAGCTTTGGTTGACATAGTCTCCCGTATCTCTGACGTCACGTGACCTCTGAACCCTGACGCCATCCCCAGCAGGATCCGGACCCCCTGGCACGCCCCCGCCGACGCTGTAACCATGGTTACCGTTGTCACTGTTACGGGCATGTGGGTCATGGCTCTGATCTCGGCCGTGCAGGCTGTGCTGATGGGAAGGGTTGAAGCTGAATCCGCTGTCGACAGATTGTTGACTAGGGGGTGCTGGGGGCGGTGGTGGTGGTGGACCCTGGGAGGTTAAGACTGGAGGCTGGCTCGAGAGATGGTGAGGAGGTGGGGGTGGTGGAGGTGGAGATGGCATCGGTTGGTTTGGGTTTGGTCCAAGAAGTCCGCTTATGGTGTAACTGACTCGTCCATCGTTGCCAGACCTGAAAGCAGAAATACCAGATCAAAGATAGTGCGAATTCAGAATCAAATACCAGGAAATTCTTACACGCTGTCAATCTCCCTAACACCGGGGGTGTCTTTTTATCAATTATAATATTTAAGCCTTGGCATTCCTTAATGATAACAAGATATGTATTCGCATACAAAAAAAAAGTAATCCGATGCATAGCAAAATGAAAATGCGTCCAGGGCTAGATCTAAGTGTAATCTTTTCAGGGAGCTTTATTTTCACAAATGTGTTAGTATATTATAGAAACCAAGCAAGAAGAGCCATGTTTCCCAAACATCGTCCATGCTACTGTCTTCTTTTTTGGTTTTGGCTCACGTATAAGTAGAAAGAAAGAAAGAGAGAAAGAGAGAGAGGGGGAGAGAGAGAGAGAGAGAGAGAGAGAGAGAGAGAGAGAGAGAGAGAGAATGAAATCGCGTGCGCGAGGTGGGGGAGATGATGATTGTGAACCCTTATTG